TGAACTCTCAAGTCCCTTAGCCTGCAGCTCCTGGACGACCCTCCTCGCTCCCAATATCCCAACGACCCCCTTAAAACCGCCGGTCCTTGTCCCCCTGGGCCCCCCAACAACTCCAGGCGGCCAGTGAGGCTCCCTGGTGACCCCCAGACCCGTGGCTCTGCAGACTCCCCACGACCACCCAGCCTTCAGACTCCCAGCCCCGGGCTCCGCCCCCTGACGATGCCCCATTCACGGGCCTCTGCGCACCGGATCCGTATTTGATATCGTGCGAGTGCAGCCGCACCCTGTGCTGCGTGTTGAACAGCTTCAGCACCGACCCGCAGGTCACGAGTCCCGCGCCGGTCTTGGCGGCACCGCTGCCTGGCACCAAGAGAGTCAGCAGCAGCCCTACAAACGCCGGTCCGGCAGCTCGGCCGCGGCCCGCGCTCCACATCGCCCCGGCCGAGCTCCGGCAGCTCGGGCCCATGGGCCGCTTCCGTCTCCGCCATCGGCCAATGAGAGAGGCACTGGAGGCAGCCAATCGCCAGCCAGCACGGCTCTCCGCCTGCACTGCCATTGGGTTGGCATGGAAGGGACTCGCCCCTAGCTTTCCAGAGAGGCAACTGGGGAGGGGGCTGGAGACACGAGGAGGGTTTTGATTGGTCCACGCTTCCGAGGACCCACCAATGAATGATGCCTAAGGAAGGCTGGTGCGGCGCCAAGTGGTAGGAGAGAAGCTGCGGAGTCGCGCTGTAGGTGAGGGCGCCCCACCCAGCAGCCGCTGAGACCCTGGACACCAGGCTGGGAATCCAAGACCCTGCGGGTACGTGTTCACAAAGCCCTTTGATCTTGGATCTTCGGGGCTTCAATCACGATCTTTCCTCTCGGACTCTTGGTCCTCAGCTTCAGGGTCTCGAGGTTGCCGGACTACTAGATTTTGTAGTTACAAGGTCGATGTATCTCAGATATTGGATCACTTGGCTCTTCAGTCCCTGGATCCCGGGATTAGTTAATCCCCCAGTTACTCGGTCATTGCCTTCCTGACAATGGGTCACCTCAGTCTCTGGACTTTGTGGGTTTTTAATTCCTCTGACCACTCACTTTTTCCAGGGCAGAATCACATGGTCATTCGACTATCGGGCAGCAGAGGGCAGCAGAGATCTGTGGTGTTGAAGATGATAGGTTCTCTCACCAGGAGACCCCAAGGTTTCTTAGGAAATCAGAGCCCTGGCCAACCAAGTGACTTTGGGAAATAAGTGTAGATAACCATGTGTCCCAGGTTTCTGACACGAGTGGGTCCCAGTCTCACTGCCTTCTCAGAGGGCTTTCAGCTGTCTTCAAGGGGGAAAACTTATATGACTGTTTATTTATTCATTCGTGGAACATTCTTATCTTGACTTAACTCCCTGTGCTAGGGGCCACTGGGGAACTGGCTCTGGGCTGCATTGCTCAATGGGCTGACTACCCATGCACTTGGGGTGCAACAAAGCAGAGATAAAAGTTTATATTTAATTAAATCATTCAGAATTTTGCGTTCAGAAAGTCCAGAATAGAGCCATTTTAATTATAGAAACATGTTATTTTGGGGTTTTCATGTTTAATATTGTTTCTATTTTGAATTACATATGGTATAAGACACTTGATTCTTTCAGGGTTTAGGGTGTCTAAGTTGCTAAAGGTATGCCCTGGCATTGGCAGACCCTGCCCTTGAGGGGCCTCCACTACAGGGTGGAGGGGCTAGAGTGTAATCTGGGAAGCAATGAAAATATCCTCTTGGATACCAACAAGCATCTCAGACTTATTATGTCCAAAGCAGAATTCTTGGTCTCTTCCCTCAAACTGCTCCCTCTCCATAGAGGGAGTCTCAGTAATGGTACCTCCGCCCCGCCCCCCCGCCGCCCCCCCCCCCCACCGTTTGGGACTTATCTTCAGTTGCTCTCTTTACCGCATACCTAGCATCTCATCCAACACATATTGGTGGCTCTAACTCTAAAACAGATTGTGAAGCATCTCTCCTGCATTCCTTATCACCACCCTAATCCAAGCCACCCCATCCCCCCTCCAGATATTGACCACTGCCTCTTAACAGATTTCTGTTTTTCCATCGCTCCGGCCCCTCCAAGTCATTCTCCAACAGGGAGAATATATACCTTTTTATACCTTAAAAAGCATATATCATAGGGCACCTGGCTGGCTCAGCAGTAGAGCATATGACTCTTGATCTCAGGGTCATGAGTTCAAGCCCCAGTTGGACATGGAGCCTACTTAAAAATAATAAAAATAAAAAATCAGGGGCGCCTGGCTGGCTCAGTAGGTGGAGTGTGTGACACTTGATCTCAGGGTTGTGAGTTTGAGCCCCAGGTTGGGTGTAGAGATTACTTAAAAATAAAATCTGAAAAAAAAAAAAAAAAAAACAACATATATCAGATCATGCCAGGCACCTGCTGAAAGCTGCCAACAGCTTCCCACTGCATGTAAGACCAGAGGGTGGTGAGGACACAGCAAGCAATCTCCCCGACAGGCAAAGGCAGAATTCCAAGTACAGCAGAGACCCAAGAACTGGAATAGGAGAAACCAACATGGCTCTCCATCAACTTTCTCAGAGCTTCATGGCTGGAGCTGTTCTCTTTCCCTGCACCCCGCTGCATACCGGCTTCCGCAGCTGGCAGATGCTCAGGGCTGACTATGGTGTCTCCGCAGACTTCTGCTTTCCAGCCACAGTTTGTCTTCAGGTTCAGAAAAGAATCTGATCTGCTCCACTTGGTTCCAGGGACTGCTCAAGGTGAAATCAGCTATGGATGGGGAGGAGGGGTAGTAGCTGGTCTCCAAATATGGCTACTAACAGTTCCTTCCATCCCTGTAAGTGTAAGCTGCTTCTCTCATTAACACATGGACTCCATTTTCCCTCCCCTTGAATCTGGGCAGGCATTGCCATTCGCTTTGACCAAGAGAATGGCACAGAAATGCTGTTTTGGGGCTTCTGAGCAAAGCTGCAAGAGGACCAGTGGTTCTCGATTTGTCTCTTTAGGAAGCCAGCTGCTGCACCGTGCTGTAAGGAAGTGCAGGCCAGAGGACTGAATGAATGGGTAGGGGCCTTGGGGAGATCCTAGAGGGGGAGAGGCCATGTGGGATGTTCTGGTCTCAGCCATGTCCCCAGCTAAAAGCAGCCACACAAGAAACTATCTCCACCACTGCCAGCTGAGCCTGCCAACCACCAGCATCAGGAAAAATGATGACTTTGTTTGAAGCCACTTAAGCCTTGGAGTGGTTACATAGCAACAGATACCTGATACAGATACAGGAGCTAAAGTCAGATGTCTTTAGCACAGTGTACCAGTGGTTCCCAAAGGGGCTGCTCCCACTCCAGGGACATTCCCTAGGCATGTGCCTCTGAGGCCAGGGTGGGTGTATGTTCTTTTTCCCTTGAGGACTTGGCAGAGAGACCTGGAAAGCTGGCAGGTTTCATGCCAGCTGCTGTCTCTGAGAGCCCTAGGGCTCCCCTCCTGGTTCTGTCCTACAGACAGGATTTCTTGCCTCTCCAGAGGGGGGTGGGTGGGGGGGAGATGCTCCACACTGTCCACCCTTGTTTTTAGCACTCAGTGCAAACTGCACCAGAATTTCCCAGTCTATGCCAGCATGCCTGGCAGGCTCAATTGGAAGAGCATGTGACTCTTGATCTCAGGGTTGTGAGTTAGAGCCCCAGGTTAGGTGTAGAGCTTACTAAAAATCAATAAACTTAAAAAATAAAAATCTCTCGGTCCACCCCAATTGCAAGCTCCTAGGGCAAACACCTGACTGGCCTAGCTTAGAATAGGGATGTGTCAAGAGGGCTAGTCAACTGTGGCCAAGTGATATGGCAAAAAGGTACAAAAATGTTGTGGCCCGACACTGTGGGTGGCCTCAGGGAATGGGCCTTATGAGTTGAGCATATGCCCTAAAAGATCCTTGCCACAAGAGATCTCTGGAAAAATGGGTCCCTGATCCACCAACTTAGGACCCCGGTTGCTCTGACTGGCAGCAGAGCAGGTCTTTCTCCTTGAACCACAGGGCATGGGTGTGGTATGGAAGCTCCTCCCTGACTGGCTCCAGAGAAGCTCTGCAGTCACTGTGTCTTCACACATGGAGCGCTGAGCGTGGTCAGGCTTGGTTGAGCAGACTTGGGCTCTATACGCCCAGGTGGGACCTGTGTGATCTGTGTGAGCAGGTGGCTCACACCTCCCCCATATCCCTGAAACAGCAGCCCACACAGCGAGTGAGAGTGGAGCATCTTCACATGTTCTTTTGACAGGGTGGAGGGGAGAGAGGTTGAGCGGTTCCCTAGGTGAAGATGCCTGAACAGCGGAACAAAATGGCTGCCCTGGGAAGGCAGAGAGAAGGCAGGTTCTGAGCTGGTAGCACAGGATGGCCAGAAGCCCCAGAAAAACCTTGGAGATGAGACCTGCCAATCACAGCACCAGCCATGCCCACAGACCCTTCCAGAGAAAGCTGTCTGGCCAGGGGCACTACTGAAAGGGTAGTCACATGGCCAGCCTGGAGCAGCCAATCCACAGCTTGACAGACCGTGAGCCCCCATGTGACCTAGTTTGGATCCTCCAGATTCAGGAGCTGGGAGCTGGGAAATACAAATTAGGAAGACAGGTAGGCATGGGAATATCAGGAAAGGGAGGATGCGTGGTTCCCCAACAGAACATGAGGGTGTGGCATAGCAAAGGTAGCAGGTTGCTGCCCTGGCAGAGGAGGAGCTCTCTGGAAGCAGGAACCACAATGCTCAGGAGCCATTAGGAAAATGCACCATGAATCCTAAGAGGCTTGAAGAGTCAGGAAGGTGCACACTGGGGCAGAGAAGAACCATAAGCAGACACTTGTGTTCAAGCATGCATGTGAGGTGAAGGGGAGGGGGGGGGGGGTCAGGGCATGGCCAGCTGTCATGATGGCTGGCTGTGTCCAGGCCTGCGGGAGGTGTTACTTCAGGTGCAGGTGCTCAGTCATACGGAAGCGGGGCTGAAATCTCCAGACAAGAAAACTGTGCTCCATCAACACAGACTTTATTTCTCCCTCTGGCTTTCCTGATAGGCCAGCAGAGCTCCTCGTGGGCATTCAGACCACCCTGACCTCTGCTCAGGGCAAGGGCCGGTGTGGGGGGGGGGGGGGCAGCACTCCATTGGAGCAAGAGGAGCAGCAGGGAATCAAGCACTGGGTGCAGCTCATAGGCCTCACGGAGCGTGACTGTGGCCCACATCTCTGGAGTCACTGCTGACATCGGCCTCCACTTGAGACTCGGGAGAGCTCTGGGGTTTGCCCTTGTCCCCAAAGAAGTCATCATTCTTGTCCTCGTCCTCTTCCTCCTCGTCACCTTGACTGTCCATGTCTACAACTTCCTGACACAGATCGGAGCCCCTGTCTGTGCCAGTGAACATGAAGGGCCTGGGCTCCTCCTGGCTCTTGGGCTCCTTCTCCTCGAGTGTAGTATCCTCCTGAGCTGGGAGGAGCTGAGGGTCCAGCAACTCACTGTGGAGAGTGGGCTCTGTGTCCTCCTCCTGATTCTTTTGGGTGGATGGCTCAGGCAGCGTGGAGGGGGTCTCCGTGTTGCTCCGGGGCGCCCCCTGGTGGGCAGTGCTGCGGTGGGCGGTGCCGCGGTGGGAGTCGTGCTGGGACCCTTGTCTAGACAGCTGTCGGGCCCACTCTGCCTCCTCCAGCTTGCGCAACAGGCAGCTCCAGTTGATCTTTGAGGACAGGCAGATGTGGGAGCCCTTCACTTTCTTGAAGCCCAGGAGGAGGTCCACGAGCGTCTCGGTGACAGGGAATGAGATGAAGCCTAACTGCTTGGAAAGGTTCTTCTCGAATTTGTACTTGCAGATGAGCAAGGACACAGCCTGCTCCACCAAGTAGTTGATGAGCTCCTGGTACAAGGGGTTGGAGAGGTGGGATATGGTAGACTTGGATGAGATGGAGGGCAGTGGCTTCTTCTTCATGAACTTGTAACTGGGGCTCTAGTGCAATAGCCGGGGAGGGAAAAGGAGACACGTCATGCCATTCCTGATGCCTCAGGATGCCCCTCACACCCGAGCACCCTCCATCCACATCACCCACACAGATGCCACGCTTGTTGCACTAGTGTTATGGCCTTGCCACATCTGCTATCCTGTCTCAATCAGCAGCTGAGCCCTGGTCCTGCATGTGGCCACACCCTCACACTTACCACACTGTTCCCACACTTGACCAAACCGGTCAGGCCTGGGGCCAGGCTGGTGATGTCAGTCACAGTGCCACCCAAACTGGAGCGTGGATAACCTGGGCTCTGGTAGATTGTCCCCCAGACCAAGGTTCAGAGGAAGGAAGCCTGCCTCGGCCTTGATGGGTGAGATGAAGGTCAGGGGCTGTGCTGGGGGTCTACCAGGGTGAAGCCACCTATGTCTTCTCTATACTCTTTCTGAGCAACTCCCTCTCAGCAGACACACTGGAGGATCCTAGGTTAGTGGGAGCACAGGTAGCTGGGCCTAGGATGTGGGGCCCCACTCTGGGTTTAAGCTGCTGTCTACAAGGGACAGGACCCTCCCCACAAAGAAGGGCCCCTCAGATTCACAGGCAAACGTTACAAAAAGACCCAGAATAAAATCTTGGCTTTATTCATCTTCAACAACACCTGACAGTAACCAGGCCAGGATTTCTGCCCCCCATCAGTTCGTCCCCAGCTCAGGTGGTTTCCACAGTGCAGGGCAAGATACCTGTGATGGTGGCTAAGTGTGGTTGCTGAAGGAACCCTTCCCTAAACCCCCTTTTCCCACCCTTGAGGTCACCTCTGGATACAGTGAAGCAGATGGGGAGAAGCTTCTTACTGAGGAGGCAAGTGGTGAGAACACGGGGAGGTGGTGGGAGATGTGAGGGGAGAGGGAGATGAGAGGAACTGTGCCCTGGGTGGTGGGCTGGGTCTGGCTGGAGGGCCCTTCAACCACGATCCCAGGGGCAGGCAGGGTGAGGTGCAGGCTCCGCCAGGGCTGGGCCTTCTGGCTGAAGCTCAGGGGCCCCGAAGTAGGTATGGATGGTGTCTGTATTTCAGGGTCCTGGCCAGGCACCTCCTGTCTGCGGTGGGGTGAGGGGACCTTGGGTTCTTCTGTGGGTGTTACCTTGAGCCTGAGTCTGGTGGCCACTTGGGCACTGGACATGGGGGAACCACCTTCCTTGGGCTTGGCCTGTCCTCTGCCCTTGGTGCTCTTTCTGCAAGCCATCTTGGGGCTGGAGGTTCTGGTGGGTAGCATATCATAGGGCTCCTCCTCATCAGTGGGTGTGGCTAGCTTGGAGCCTGGCATGGAGTCAGAGTTGGGCTCTGTTGCGGGCTCCCATTCTGATGGGAAGAGAGGGCAGCCATCATGGCGGCGGGCACCACGGAGCTTGTCCACAGCCTGGCTGACCACACTCTGCAGGGCAGGGAAGAGCTGGTGCTCAGCCAGAAAGTCCAGAGTCCGATGGGGCTCACGGAATGAACAGTAGCCAGGCAGGTCAAAGGATGCTGGCTGGCTCAACAATGACTTGATCTTATTAAACTCTTGCTTGAGACAGATCAGTTCCTGTTCTCCAGGGCCCAGCTCTGATGTTTGAGGTGTGCCTGAGCTTGAGCCCAGCTGGCCTGAGAACGAGGACAGAGGCGGCTCCCGGGTCCACTGGCTGCTGGCATGGCTGTCCAGTGAATCCCACAGCAGGGAGTCCCTCTGGAAGAAGGACCGATCCAGGCCTTTCTGCAAAGAGAGGGGGACTTTCAGGGGCAGCCAAGCCAGGCCTAACCCTAGCCCTGGGTTCTGGACTGGGGTCCATCCTGCCTACCCTGTGCCATGGCCCTGGATCTCACCCCTCTGTTCTCCAGCTTCAGCAGCCGTTTGAGGTTCTTCTCCAGCAAAAGTTTGTCCCTCATGGGTGGCAGTGAGCCCATGCCACGGGTGCCCAGGTCACTGTCCTGGCCGTGGGATCCCAGCCAGCCAGCTGTGAGGCTGCTATGGGAGTCAGACATGGAGCTGGAGCAGGATGGGTAGTTGTTGGGACATCCAGTGCAGAGGCTGGGCCGGACACGGTGCCGGTGCATGGTACTGAGGCTAGGCTGGGCACGTACCCGCCGCCTACCCCTTGGTACCTCTATTGGGTCCTGCACCTCCACCAGTGGCACTCCAGCCTCTGTCTTCATGGTGGTCATGCGCTCAGTGGCCTCCTCCACCACCGTCTGTAGGCTGTCCAGCACCTGGCCTTTGACAAGGAAATCCAGGAAGCTACCAAAGGGCCGAGGGTCCCTTGGGTTTTGTTGGTGGCCATGGAGCCCTGAACTGTCTGTGAGAGTGTACCTCGATGGTGGGTGTGGCATGTGGCCCAGCTTGGAGACTTGTCCCATTTCCAGGAACAGTGGCTTCTTAGGCAGCTGCACCAGAGCAGACAGGCATCATGTCATATAGGGCATAGATGCTCCACAAGGAGTAGGGGGTTTCCTGGAGGTCCTCCTAGGGCACCAGGAACTGGGTGGGAGTGGGCAGTGGAAGGCACTGTGTGTGTGTGTGTGTTTTGTTTTTTATAAAATTTATTGTCAGGAACTATGTTTTAGAGTCAGAAAGTTTCTGGGTCTGGACCCTGGCTCTGCCACTGCAGGTTGTGACACCATAGGCATGATGGCCCCTCTTGAGGTCCAGTTTCCTCTTCTGCAAAGTGAGGCTTGATTTCAGGTCATCCTAACCCTTCCCTGACACATACATTTCACATATATAATATGTGGCTAGGGAGTCAGAAAGCCCACTTCTGCCCTCACACAGGGCAGGACAGAAATGGGCAATCACAAACCCCTTTGAACCCTACTTGGGTTCCTCACCTGTCCTTAGAGCAGACCAGTCCTGTCTCCACTGCACAGACCACCTGTAGTCCTGAACCCTTGGCTCCCCATGGCTGTTTCTGAAACTTTGAGCCTTGGGCCCTGAGTAGACTCCATGCTTCCACTCTGGAGTACCAGTCTACCAAGCTCCTCCCCAGCTGCTGGAGGTCAGGGGACACAGTGAATGAAGTTTGAGGGTGACTAGGGCCCAGCAGGGGGTGCGAGGAGTGGTCAAGGTGATAAGGATGTCACTAAGAGGCCCAGAGAGGAGGTCAACAGGCACTGAGAAAGGGGGCTGTGGTCTGGGGTGCTGGAACTGGCGGGGAACATTTTGGGGGTCTTAAAGTCAGGGTCCTGCCAGACACACTTACCCGGGCCACGTAAGTGGTGTGGCCGGCCTCATCGTCTGCCAAGTATCCTGAGTGATGGCGGCAACTGGTCATGGTGAGGGTGAATCGCTGTCGGCCTCCTCTCTCTCTGGTTCCGCAGCACAGCCACGGATTCCTCTCTGTGCCGGGCGGGGAGATGGTGTGAGGGTCTCCCTAGGCCTCCATGAGTCCGACTCTCCCTTCGTCTGTCAGCTACTGTGTCAGCAATCCCGGGATCCGCAGGTTCCTCGCTCCCCTCACCCCACGTCCTTCACATGTCGGGCCCTTCCTCTGCTCGGAATTCCCTGGGTGTCTGCGCACGGTGGTCCGTGTCCAGAGTCGTCGGGGCTGAGGTCCCCAAGGATGTCCGCATACTGTCTCTGACCATCTCTGGGCCTGGATGTTTCCGACCCTCCCTCCTCCTAGACCCCGGAAGCCCTGTTGTCTGCCCCTGGCTCAGAGCCGACCCGCTCACCAGAGTCCGTGCCTCTCTCAGTGCCAGGCAATATAGCCTCCCACTCCAGGGAGCTCTGGAGTTGGCCCACGTCAGCACGGCTTGCTCATTTCCATGCTACGTCCTGATTGGCTCGCAATGCTTTCTAATTCTGCCACAATGGTTGAGGGCGGGACCCAGGCTGGCCCCTCCCCCACTTCGTCTGAATTTGCCTTGCCCACATTCACTGTGGGAGATTCAGGGGTTGCTTCCGACTGTTCCACGTAGGAGACTGGGCACCTGAGGGAAGCCCTAAGGGTCAAAGCCACAGTCTCCTCTGGTGACACAAGCACTTTCCTCCTGGGCCTCCTGATCCTTTCTAGGGTCCTCTCCTTGCCCAGTGTGGGGGACCTCAGGAGAGTCTTCAGCCCTCTCCCTCTGCAGTGTCCCTGAGCACAATGGTAAGAGTCCCGGCTCTAAGTCACAGACCTAGCTTCAATTCCTAGCTCTACTGTTTCCTCCCAGTGTGACTCAACCTCTTGTCATCTGCTCCTCCTCTGTAAACAGTTGAATGTTCTTCCATATGAGAATATAGAGATTAAATCAAATCTGCATACAACACACCTGACACCCCAATAAGAGCTCTGTGTATCTTTACCTACTTTCCCCCTCTGCCCAGTAAACTCCTCCTAATGTCCCTCCCAGGTGTCACCTTCCAAGAAGGCCTGCCACCCTCAACAGAATTACCAAAAAACCCATTCTAGGCTCTGCCACAAGGTATTGTTACTCATTTACCATATGGTGCTCCTTGGGGGTAGGAACAGAGGCACACACCCCTAATCTCTAATATTTCTAATACCAGTAAGTGCTCAATAAATGTCAATTTCCTCTTTCCAATCTGCTTACCCTCAAGGGCTGTGGTCTTTTCAGGATCAGCTTCCCAGTGGAGAAAGATAGTTTAAGTCCAACAATTCAATAATCACAACTGAACACAATAACCCTTATGCCAAGAGGTTGATAAGGGCTCTATGAGGCCTCTGATCCATACAATGTCCCACAAGGAACATATTATTTGTTATTCTCAAATTCAGCTCTGCCTTCTCTGCCCCTGACCCAGGGGGCTGCTAGGGTCTAGAGGACCAGGGTAGACCCAGAGCTTTGGAGGTCAAGTCGCAGCTCCACTACTGGCAGGGTCACTTTGGGCAAGCCACTTTTCCCCTCTGAGCCTCAGCTTCCTCATCTGCAAAACAGGAATAACATTACCAATCTCATGGGCTGGAGACAAATGTTGCACTTTCCATTGGGAAAAGAAACAGCCACATCACAATGAAAACTCTCACTGTCAACCATGGTGACTATATAGTCATCAGTAAAGAAAGCTTTTCTGCACCATTGAGGAAAAAAATGAGATTATGAATGTAAAAGTTGTATCCTGGCACAGAGCTCAATTGGGGCAATCAAGGACTAATGCTTCCTCAAATGAAGCCATTGTTATACACGTTTTGTTTCATTTTCTTACTTAGAACGTTCTTTCTAGAATGTTTTTTTTAAACCACCTCTTAGAAAAAAAAAATCACCAAAGACAAATAGGCAGTTTGAAAAAGTTCATAGTCACTATCAAAAAAATGAAACACTACAAGAATGGGATGACACTGATGTGATCATTATCTTCTCAAAACAAACAAAAACTTTAGGGTGGGGGAGAAAAGGAATTGGGTTTATTTGCTTAGAAAAATGCTGGAGGGACACTATCTAGAAAGTTAACATTAGTGACTTTAGGGAAGAGTAAGAGGTTTTTTTTTTAATAGGGTTTTTTTTCCTGTATTTTTCACATTAAATATAATTTTTGCAGTTACCGAAAGTTCCGCGTTGCAATAAATCCGGCGGAGCGCGCTGTGTGGTCCAGAGGATCGTTGCAGGGCCTCATTGAGACCGGTAGGTGGCGAGAACAAAGGCGAAGTGCAGCTGCGTGAGGGCGTGCGCTTCAGGGCGGAGCCTGCGACTGCGTCTAGGGGTGGGGCCTGGATCCAGTCCTCTAGGGTCCAGGGCAGTCCGCGGAAGTGTCTATGGCTGGACCGCGCGTGCGCCTCGTGGTCACCGCAGACGACTTTGGTTACTGCCCGCGGCGCGATGAGGGCATCGTAGAGGCCTTCCTGGCGGGGGCTGTGACCAGCGTGTCCCTGCTGGTCAACGGCGCAGCTGCGGAGAGCGCGGCGGATCTGTCCCGCAGGTGAGTGGCGGACCCCTCCAGGGTCGGGGCTGGCTTCGGAAGCCGCCGCCCCGCGGCAGGCAGTTCTCCCGCTCGCGCTCCGCCTGCAGGCACAAAATCCCTACGGGCCTTCACGCCAACCTGTCCGAGGGCCGCCCCGTGGGCCCGGCCCGCCTAGGCGACTCGTCGCTGCTCAGCCCCGAAGGCTTCTTCCTCGGCAAGATGGGATTCCGGGAGGCGGTGGCGACCGGAGGCGTAGCTTTGCCCCAGGTGCGGAGGTGCGGCTGCAGGAAGATGCTCGAAAGGATCCCCAAGGCTCCGCCCTGAGGGTACCGTGAAGCCATTAGTGGCAGGAGCTGGCGATGGATGTTTCCCTAGTTCAAACGAGCAGTCACACGGAGGCACCTGGAGGGAACCCTCCTTGGTAGCTGCTCCGGGACGTTCAAGATGCCTGTCATCCTCTCTCTCCAGGTGCGGGAAGAGCTGGAGGCCCAGCTGATACGCTTCCGAGAATTACTGGGCGGGGACCCCACTCACGTGGACGGGCACCAGCACGTGCACGTGCTCCCAGGTGGAGGGCATTGTTCCCTGGAAGGGGGCTGCGGGTGAGAGGTGGTCCCAGGTAGTAGGAGGTGCTACTTCCTGACTCCATCCCGCCCGCAGGCGTGTGCCAGGTGTTCGCAGAAGTGCTGCAGGCCAATGGGGTGCGCTTCACAAGGCTGCCGGTGGAACGTGGGGTGGGCGACCGCGCGTGGCTCGAGGCCCCCGCGCGTGCCTTCGCCTGCTCGGTGGAGCGCGACGCCCTGGCCGCCGTAGCCCCCTTCTCCCGCTACGGCCTATGGTGAGGCCCCTATCCCGTATCCTAGTGAGCCCGGCCGGCAGTTCACCTGACAGCTATGTCCGTTCCTCATCGTTAAAGGCGGTCAGGCGTCGACTTACGTTGCCCCCGTCCCAGATCTGTCCAGTCACAGGCCTAGCCCTGCCCATCACATAGTCCTGCTGCACCCTGCCTGCCCCTGATGCCCCGACATCCACAGGTGGACGGATGCCTTCGTGGGCCTGAGCACCTGCGGCCGGCACATGTCTGTTCATCGCGTATCAGGAGCACTAGCACGGGCCCTGGAAGGCATACCCACGGGCCATACCCTGACAGCTGAGCTGATGGCACACCCTGGCTACCCCAGTGTGCCTCCTGCCGGCGGCTGTGGTAAGGGTCCCGATGCCTTTTCCTGCTCATGGGAGCGGCTGCATGAGCTTCGTGTCCTCACCGCACCCACACTGCGGGCCCAGCTTGCACAGGACGGAGTACAGCTCTGCGCTCTCCACGACCTAGATTCCAAGAGGCCTGGGGAAGCCACTCTGAAAACCTTCCTGGAGCGCTCCCGGCCATGACCCTGATAGCCAGCCAAACATAAACACCCATTAGTACACAAAAAGGGGGCCAGTGTCAAGCCCCGGGACATCCTGGAACCAGGCTGAGAGCCGGGGTCCAGTAACATACTTCCCTGGGCGGGACCCTGTCACATCTGTGTCCAGGTCCTCATGGCTCAGAATGGTGGCCAGAGCTTTGGCAACCCATCTTGGCTACAGATGACATCTGGGTCTGGGGCCTGCCAAGCATTTGGTGCCCTTCAAGTTGTCATGTAAGTTAGCATCTTCCTTGTCCAGATGTAGTAGAGATCGCTGTATTAATAAAATATTTGTCTTGTAAACTTGGATGGTTTATAAACTGTGCCCAGAAAACGTTTGCGGACACTTAAGGCAAAAGCAACTCAGGGCCCAAACCAGGTCATTATTCCAGAGTAGATATGCAAAACATACTCCACATTTGGGAGGAAGGGGTTTGGGAGAAGAATGTCTCACTCCTTGCCTACTTTTTGGGAGATACTATAATCTCAAATTTTATTTTAAAAGTCACCTGTTCCAGGCACCTGGATGGCTCAGTTAAGCATCTGACTCTTCATTTCAGCTCAGGTCATGATCTCAGGGTTGTAAGATTCAGCTCCAAGTTAACACCTAGCGTGGGAGCCTGCTTAAGATTCTCTCTCTCTCTCTCTCTCTCTCTCTCTCTCTCTGCCCCTCTCCTGCTCTCAAGTGTGTGCACGCGTGCTCTCTCTTAAAAAGTCACTTGTTCTCAACAAGCAGTCCTTTGCCATCCTAGGGGCAAATAAAAGGAGGTCCTGCAAGCCTGTTTAATATTCTCCAAGAGGAACAGTCTGTGGAAATGGGATCCTGGACTCTTCACTGGACCTGGTGATGTGTGCATGCCCCGTCACTGGGGTTCATGTGTCTCGGATCAAGGAGATGCAGGGAGCAGATGGGGAAGGTGGTAGGGAGTTCTTGGGAGCACAGTCCTGCCCTGCCCGGCTCTAGAGTGTTGAAAGGCAGATGGAACGATGATCCTGTTTCATTTAATCTCAGGTAATAGTGCCTATGTGCAAGGACCAATGTCCTCATTTTACAGACCTAGGAGTGGCAGAGCTTTGAAGCTGCCTGTACATTTTTTCACCATGCAGTGTCAGGCAAGCAATCAGGTGCCTAAAGAGCTCTCTCTTGGCCTGGGCTGCCTTGAGGGATGTACAGCTTTCTTTGAGAGGTGAGGGTGGGATCTTGCTCCTCCTTTCTGCTGTCCGGATCCTACATCTCTAACCCTTGACTGTGGCTTCACGCTTTTCTTTCCTGGCTTCATCTTCTACTCTAACCTTCCCTTGACCATGATTCTTCCAGCAACAGGCCCTTTCCTCCGTAGCTGTGAAGTGGAATCCCTTAGCCCCTCCAATTGCCTTGCCTCAGTGTACTGGGGTCTGGCCACATTCCTGCAGGCTGCTGGCCAGAGCTGGTAGGGGTGGCCTGAAGGCAACCTATTGGCACAGAAGCTCCCTTGAGGGAGGTTCTGCTATTTTGAGAAGAGGAGGCAGTTAGCTGTGTGGCTCTGAGGCTGAGGACAGAGGTATGGGTGGACAGGAGAGAGATTTGGGATCTGCACAGCTAAAGCTGTGGAGTCACCCAGAGAGGGAGAGAGGGGTGATCAGAGATGAGGGCCCAGATCAGCCCTAGGGGCCATGAGGGTTTAACAGTGGAGAGGAGAGAGGCTGTGGCCAGGAGACAGAGGTCTACTTCACAAGGGGTGGGAAAGTGATAAGGCAGAAGGCTGCAGGCAGATCAGGCCCACTGTGGGGCTGGTCACTAGCACCCCACTGGGGAGATGGGGTATTCCTTATGTCAAACCTGCTGTGCACTGGGTGGCTTGGACAAGGGGTTTACTGTTCTCTACCCATCAGTCATGTATGGAAGGTCTGCTCTGGGCCAGGCAGGACTGGGTGCTCAGATTGCCTAGCCTGTGTGGAGCTCACAGTCTGGCACATACATGGGCTTAGCTGGCTGGACTGCAGTGGGAGAGAGGGGGGAGGAACACAAAGTAGAGTGTGGGGCCAAAGGGGGGCTCCTAACCCAGCCAGGCCTGCTCAGAAAACGCTCTCTGGAGGAAGTGACTTCCTTCTTTGGGCCTTGGTTATGGGCCTCCATCCACCATTGGGCAGTCCTTTCCACTCTGATCCTCTGAGGTGTGTATGGTGTCCCCAGGAGCCCTCCTGCAAAAAACATGTCCCAATCACCCAGGAAACAGCCATTTAGCAAGTACCACCTGAGCCAGGCCACCTTCAGCTCTGCTCCTCTGGTTGGTGCCACTGCCCCACACTGCGTGAGGGAGGCAGGGAGAAGAGGAAGAGCCAGTGCAAATGGGGCAGGAAGAACTAAGACCAGTCTGGCTTTGCCTTTGATGGGGTCAGGTGGCTGCCCTGCAGAGTGGGGCACAGAGATGCTACCAAATGAAGAGAGTAGGCTGAGAGGCTGACAGCCTGTGGATTGTGCAATGAGGAAGTCCTGGGGCCCTTGCCAGGGAAGCCTCAGGAGGCTGGCCAGGGGCTGACAGAAGCCAGGCTGCAGTGGGCACAGGAGTGATGAAGTAGATGCATATTTTGAGCTGAACAATTAATACAGGAGTGAGGAAGGCAAGAAAATGGTGGCTCCAGAGTTGAGGAAGTTGAGAGAAGGTCCTGTAGAGCTCTGGTTTTGGGAAAGGGGTGAGGACTGTGGCTGTGTCTGGGGTCCAAGAACCTGAGTGATGGAATGTAACAGGCTCTGGAGCCAAACTGTAAAAACACAGGCCACGTGTCCTTGCCTGTCACTGAACTTCGGTTTCTTCCTCTGTAAAAATAGGGATAATGGTGTCCATGGGGTTGTCTTAAGAGTCACAGAGGATAAAGTCTTAAGAGGCAGCAGAGTTGATCACCCTGTTGATGATCAAGGGAAAGGACTAGCTCCTTGCTTGCAGGTAAAATGACACTCCAGGAAGGTTCCTCCTGGACACCTGCAGATGTAGCTGACAGGGCAGGTCTGGTATCAGCTTGTGTCAAATTCCCAAGGGGACTTAGGAGGCCTTGGAGGCAGGTTTCTGGCTGGAATCATTCAAGGAAATGGCCTAGCCTCACCCTCAGGTACACCCTCATTTAGTTCAGTGAGGTTGAACAAGACAGCCACCCTCTAGGGGCCTCAGTCTGCTTCTCTGCTAAATGTACATAATACCACTCTCTTGGGACTGACAGATGAACTGAAGTGATGCATATACAGAGGCCACTGTCCCTTCCCCTGACACCCAATGGGTCCTTCCACAGGCCCCGATGGCCTGGATTTCAGCCTTTTCTGCTTCCCTCGTGGAAAGACCACACACCTGTGTGTGCCTCTTCTGGAAAAGCTGGGCATGGGGGGAGAGGAGCAGGCAGAAGAGCCTAGGTCCTGGCCACCCCTTCCCCATCTCCAAGAACACAGGCCCCTGGCTCTGCCCACCCCCAGTAAGGAAGAAACCCACAAAACCAAACCAGTGTCAGAGAGCATTTTTATTAAGGGCAGCAGAACGGGATCGCAGCATCTTAGAAAGCCTATTCTCTGCCGTTGGCAGGGAGCGGGAGGGAACCCGGCGCACTTCGAGGAACCCAGTGCTTGTGAATTCCTGAGTAGGCTCGGGTCAGTGGTGGCTGCTCGACAGCTCTCCCCTTCTCCAGAGGACCCAGCTGTTTGGTTGTGGAGCAGCCAGGGCTGTCCGCCAGCATGCTCAAAGCCTGCCCTGGGGACTGCCAGTCTGGAGGGAGGCAAGCTGCCCAGGCCTGAAGGAGGGACCATCCCCTGCCTTGCTCTCTGAAGGCCAGGCCTCTGACAGGGCAAACCATGGGGTGCCATGCCAGGGCTGAGAGTCCCTGAGGGGCTGCCAACTTTGACAAAGGTATCCTCCTGAGCACAGACATGAGAGGGCGACAGGCAGGCAAAGCTACGCTGGTAGAGATATGAAGCAATGGGACAGTTTCCAAGAATGGCAATATTTCTGGATTCAGAGAAGCAACGAGAACAAATGGTGGCTTATTTGGATAGCTTCTGACAGAATTTGGCATTTTATTAACAAATCTGTGTGTGAGTGAAATAAAGTCCATTATCACCTTTCTGCTAATGAAGAGACAGATGTGGAAACACTGGCCCGGTGCTCCTGCCTTCCTGGGCCCACAGGAGTCTCCAGAACCTGCCCTGGCGTACCTAGGACTGAAGAAGCCAAGTTCATTGCCACACTGCAGGGGCCATGCACCTGGACAACTAAACAACGTTCTGCTGCCTAACCTACCCATCACACCCACCTCTGCACAGGTAAAACCATCTTACAGGTCTGTAAGGCCCAGAAAGATCTCAAGTAAGAGAGCTAAAAACAGAAAGCCAGGTTTCTTTATCTTCCCCACAGGATCTAGTCCCTGGCCCGCCCCCCGCCCCCCCCGCCACCCAAGAGCCAAGAAGGGCAGCCACCAGTGGCAAAAGAGGAGTTGGTGACACACGGTGTTTAGACCATCAGCTTCCTCTGGGTGTCAGTGACAGGTATTCTCTATTTCAGGGGCAGTCCCACTTGCTTTGAAAAGACATTAACATTCAAATCCTTACAAGTTCATCTGATGATAAATTCTAAGGTCAATTTTTATTTCTACAAAAAAAGGCAGTCAAAACAATATAAAACACATGTAAAGGATATTATTGAGTGAGCTTCAAGTGGAGCTTGACTCTGCAAAGGCTGTGAGTCCAGAGGGAGGGGGAAGGCCGTCTTGTTCCTGGGCTGGCCGGCTGCTCCGAAGAAAGGGGCCAGCAGGGTGCCAGCAACCCCACACTGGTGCTGGCTACAGCCGAGTCCCGCCAACTCCAGCCAATTCCAACCCCGCAAAGGGTCAAACTGTGCCAAGGGAGGGTCGCAGTGGGGCTGCGCTGCACTGAGGAGCTGGGAGAGGGAGCTCCGTGGCACATTCAGATGGAGCTCGGTGACAGGTGAGCGTGGAATTTCACATGGACATTCTGGCTTTGGCGTTGTTGCCTGCACTGACACATCTTCTACAATGGCTGCAGGGAGGAGTGTCAACCTTTGGCTTCAGGAGCCTCTCTGGCGAGAAATTCCTCACACAAGTGCCAGCTCACACAAGTGCCAGCATCTTCTGGTGGGCAGGCCCTCCCCTGGGGTCACCACAGACATGGGTTACCCCAATCAGGCCAGGCCAAAGTTCAATCACGCACACAGACATCAGGGTTTGCCCATTTAATCAACGTTATTGTGGTAACACCAGCCGGATTTTTACATAAGAACTGGGCCTCCCTTTTCACGGAATTTTTTTTTGGGGGGTGATGAGGGGGA